CGCGGCGCGGGCGGGCAGCGCGTGGCAAACACTGGCGGAAGAGAGGAAGCAGCTCGCGGAACTTACGGGTTTCTGGAATCATGTGGGCGCGAGCTGTTGCTGTGCGCGCGCTGCTGTTCGCTCTCTCCCCCGGGGAGGACGGAAGCCGAGAGGGACGACAGAGGACGTCCAAGACTACACACTACTCCAACTCCAACAGACTGTTGGTGTGAGACACAGTACTGCAATAACTGTTTATAATGTATGAATAGTATATAATATATAATTATATAAATACTGTTGTTATAATATCTATATATCTAATATATAATATGTTTTATAATATCTAATATATAATACTGTTTATAATGTATAATATATATAATATATAATACTCGTTTATAATGTATAATATATAATAATAATAATACTGTTTATAATGTTAATATTATAATATATAATACTGTTATAATGTATAATATATAATCTGTTTATAAATTCTATATATATAATAATATAATACGTTTTATAGATCAATATATATATATATAAATACTGTTTATAATATCTAATATATAATACTGTTATAATATATACTATATATATACTGGGTTTAATAATGGTAAATATATATAATATATAATAACTGTTTATTAACTATCTAATAAAATACGTTTATAATATCTAATATCATATAATATATAATACTGTTTATAATATCTTAATATATATAAGTATATAATACTGTTTATAATATCTAATATATAATACTGTTTATAATATATAATATATATACTGTTTATAAATATATAATATATAATATATAATACTGTTTATAAATATAAATATAAAGTACTGTGTATAATGTATATAAATATATATATAAGTATATAATACTGTTTATATGTATAATATATATAATATACTAATACTGTTATAATATCTAATATATAACTGTTTAAATGATAATATATTATAATATATAATATATAATACTGTTTATAATTCTAATATATATAATTATATAATACTGTTATAATATCAATATATACTTTTATTTAATATATAATATACTGTTTATAATATAAATATATTAATTCTGTTTATAATATATAATATATAGTAATACTGTTTATAATATATAATACTGTAAGATATAAAACAAAACTTTATTATTGTTTTTATTTATTATTTTCTTGTTTACTAATTTCTACTGAAACATTTGTGTTCAGTTCATATTTTAATAGTATTTAATAAAGGTATTTAATAATAAACTGGTAAATAAATAAATAAATAATAAATTAGCTGCAATTATTAATCAATTAGTCTGCAAGTATCTTGATAATGGATTGATTTAAAGCCTTTTTTATTCAAAATCACTAAATAACCTCTTTAATATCACTACATGTTGAATGGTGATTTCTTTTTATTTCTATATTTACTATATCATATAAATACTACGAGAAAGTATCAAAATAATTGTTTATGATATCGGAAACAATCAGTTGTTTATCTGCGGCTCTAAAACATCGACATTAACTCCTGTAGAGCTGAAACTGTTTCATTCATTAATTAATGAGCCAATAACACAAAAATAACCTGCAATCAGTTTGTTAAATAATGGTTTTATTATCAGAAAAGACAAAAAAATGATTTAAACTTTCTGTTGCTATATTATTTTTCTCTGAACCAAACCATTGATCGAATCCAGACAGACATTGGAGATAATTCGATTAATAATGAGAATAGTCTAATATTTGCATCCCTAAACTCCCGTATAATTAATGTCTCCTTAATTAAACCATATTCATCCTGTTTATGGAGCTTAAATTTACATTAAATCTCACATTAACATTAAACTGTGAGATTATTATTAATCAGTCATAAAGTGATTGTATTGATTAGAGATTATATCTGATGTACAAATACTGCGTTCAAATGTTATTTCACTAAAAATACAAAAGTAAATCAAAAGTACCAAAACTAAAAGAATAATATAAATGATTTATTCATCACTTTAATGTTACACTGTTTAATATTTGACTGTATATTTACAGTAAATTACAGATAACGAGGTCCATTACTTTCACAGCAGTTTACTGGGACCTCACAGTGCCTCCATATTACTGTAATTAACTGTAACTCTACTGTTAGTTACATATTACTGTAATGTTAAAGTAATGTAACCAGCTAGTAGCCAGTAATGTGCTTTTCTGGTAACCAATCAATAACTAATAACACTGAAAAACAGCTTAAATTCAAATAAACACAAAAACAGTGTGAGTATATTTACATATTGCATCCTTATTTATACTTATTGATATCTGATTTTGCGTAGTTGCTAATTTGATCGAATTTACACAGCGTCTTTCTGTGTCTCCACATTTTCAGAAAATAGATTATTATTATTATTCTTCTGGAGCGATCAGTTATCGGCTATAATTGAACTATGGGGATGATTCAGTAACTGTCTGTCTGTAAAAAATCCAACTGACACTTTAATTCATGTGAATAACTAACGTACTCCATCATAAATAATTCATTTTACACCCTAACTGGATCAATGGGACACAGCACGATGTGAAAATACTGTATTATATTGTAGAATATCACAGTTAAAGTCTGTGAAATGATAAAAATGTAGTTTGAACAGTTTAAATCCTGTAATTAATGGACAGTGTACAGCTGGTGACAGAGGAGATTCTTTTAATGACTAGAAACTGCTGACTGGTGAATTCATGAATAAATAAATAATATTAATATGTTGTTTTATTTCATCTGAATCTGTACTAAAGTTATCAGATCAATAAATAATGCAGACTTGCAAACTTCAGTCTGAAGTTACAGAACTAAAAGACGAAACAACAAACAAAAACAAATACATATAAATCATATTAATAATAATAATAGGAAAAGAGTATATCATTTATAATTTACAGTTTATACATAAAAAGAAACCAAAAGAGAATAAAACCAAATGAAATCAGTTAGTTTTGTGTCTTTATGTGTTTGTGAATGAGCTCCTCTCTTCAGCCATCCTCCAAGAATCACACGTTCAATAACGATTTAACGCTGTCTGAATATTAAAAACACTTCATTTAGGATCAATCTGTGGATCAATAACAATATATCCTCCTTTATTAGACTGATAGATTATATAGGAATAATATTAGTAACTTAATGTAATGTAGTAAATGTGATGATTATATGAGCTGTTCTTAGAGAGAAGTTTTTAGTTCATCCATTAATGTTTGAATGGAAACACTAAAGTTCCTCAGAACTGTACTCACATACAGTACTCGAGTAAATGTATTAAGTTACACTGCAACACTGCAGATAGCAAATATCAGTGATTATAGCTCATTATCTGTCAGCTTAATGTGTGTGTGTTACTGTGTGTGTGTGTGTGTGTGTGTGTGCAGCTCGGCGCTCTGCATGAAGTTCTGGAGAAACTGCAGACGAAGAGGATCAATCCCTGGGAGAAGAAATATGGACAGGTCCCCTCTGTGAGTCCCCCCCACTCCCATTATTAAAGCATCAATCAATCTAATACCGATCAGCACCAACCTGATCCAGCCTTTATCAGTCAGCCTCGTGTTTGCTGTTAGTGGAGACTAAACATTATAGTGGAGACTAAACGTTAACAATGATCCATATCAGCAGTTTGAATCCAACTAAAAGCTCCCTGCACCAAACTCCCTTTAAGAAATATCACATTTTAACAATTCCTAACGTTGGTACAAACGTCCGTCTGACGGTTAGAAATGTTTAAATAGTTTTAAACGCAGTTCAACTTTGTTCTAAACGTTTTGTGATGATTGAAGAAACAAAAATGTGTTTGTCAAAAATATTAAAAATGGCAGACTTTAGTGGTCCAAGAGGGCTTCTGTAGAGCGCAGTGTGAGGTGTGAGGGGGCGTGGCCACAGCGCCACCTGCTGGCTGACTGGGCTCACACACAGTTTCCTGTTTGTATGGTTCCAGCTCACAGTGAGCAGCAGCAGATTATAATTAAAGATAATAATTAAAGCTAAAGCAGATGAACGGGTCCTCGCAGTCCGTACGTCCGGCTGATGTCCTGTTGGCTTTGGGATATGAAGTGTGTACCGATTTAACAAACATTTTAGACACTTTACCACACCCAAAGAATACTTATGTGTGTATATATATATATATTTACAATTTAGAGTACATTATGTCTGTTATTACTGCATTAATATCACTGATCCATCGACATTTGAAGTTGTACCTGCATCATATCTGATATCATTTACTTTAAATGTAAAGGTACTAAATATAAATAACTAATTATAAATGTATAAGAAATATTTACTGAGTAGCATCAAATACAAGTTCTAATGCTACACCTGACTAAATGTACTGCTCTGATTTATACACTGATACATTCTCATAATAATAATAATAATAATAATAATAATAGTTCTATTCTTATGTAATGTGTATTTTATTATCCGTGTGTATCTGGAGCTGCTCTAACAAACACATTTCCCCAATGTGGGATCAATAATCTTACATTATCTTACATCTTATCTTTATATTTTATACTAATACTGTTAAACACATAGTACTCTACTTAAATAGACACAGTATTATATTAATGTATTTTCTGTACTCACCAATCTGTTTTCATCATCACATAAATACTTTATATAAACGTTGATATGTGTGTGTGTAACTGTGTGTGTGTGTGTGTGTGTGTAACTGTGTGTGTGTGTACTTCCTGTGTGCAGTGTGACCTCGGCGAGCACTGCGCCGTCCGGAAAGGATCTCGTATCGGGAAGATGTGCGACTGCCCTCGAGGAGCCTTCTGCAACTTCTTCCTGCTGAAGTGCTTATGAGCCAATCAGAACCCACAGCGAGAGTTTATTTTAACATTATGTATATTTTACACTGAATTAAATATTAATGTCTGAAATGATGTAAAGTAGTTTTTAGTGGGAATAAATCCTCTGTCAACCTGTCCGTCCAGTCTGTGCTGCATTAAAGGTGTTCTTCCTTTTCCCAACGACTCCTTTTACTGGCTGTAATCAGTCATAAGCCCCGCCCCTTTTAGTGTGTGGTTGGGGGAGGGGCTTATCAGAGGCGAGAAAGGTATAAAGACGCTTTAGGTTGGTGGCATGAACGGGACAGAACCAGGAGTCAGTAGGAGGAACCAGAGGAACCAGAGGTTGTTGTATCAGGATAAAGATTCAGTGACTGAAAGTAGTTTCATTCAGAGACTCTAACGTCTTCCAGATCAATAGTTCCCAACCTTTTCTCTCAGTGAACTGACTGAATTTAATGTATATTTCATATTATAATTAACATTAAACTGAACAGTGAACTCAATAACTGCAGTTTGATTATTTCCTGTCAATATTGATCACAGATGAGTTTTCCTGATATATTGATCCGTTCTCTGTATTCTGTATTTGTATCATTTTATCAATCAGA